CTAACGAAGTCGGCGGGCGATAGATCGTTTCTGAATGAATCTGATCGAGGGTAATTTTACTTTAGATGTTAAAAAGGATATTGTTAGAAAAAAACGATGGGAGACAACAAACTATTTTACAATAGGTTAGAGAATAACGGACAGAAGTAATTGTTTTGTGAATCAGTCTTCTAAATTACCAAAAATCCTGTTTCCACCGCTGCTCTCTTGGCCGCAGCATTCGGTGGCGGGGTCTGGCGGCGTCGCGGTTAGCGAACACACTGTCGGCCGTGCTGCCGTATTTGTCGGTGTAGAGGACGCGCAGCACACGCTGTACTCCTGAGTACCTTGGCATCTGCACATAACATTACACATCAAATTTAACTTGATGGTGGTCAATCTATACTAACATAATAAAGCGCAAACACACACTACTTTGTGGCGTAGGATGTCAGCAATTACAGCAAATTTTTGAATAATTATTTCTATAATAAAAGTCCATACATTTACGACACGCTTTAGGCTATATATTTTTACGCTATTAAACTTAGGGGGTAAATAAAATGGAAGAAAACCTTTATGTGGAAAAGGGATTATAAGCTACAAGGAAGCAAGGTTATTACGGTAACGGTAATTTTAACATTTGCAATTGAGAATTTGACAAATGTAAACAATAAACTAAAATTGTGTAAAACTAAATGTAAAAAAAACTCAACTGTTTAGTTGTACAACTAAAAATCGAATAGTATGCGCAAATCGCTTAAGCTCATAGGAATCAAAGCGTGACTAGAGAGTTGTGCGATAGTTTAGTCAAAGGTGTGTGAGCACCAATTAATACAGAATCAAGGACAATAACTAGCAATTCAAAAAACGGATTAGTTTATGTTTAACTAGCTGTTCCCATGCGACTTCATCCGCATGAAATTATAAAAAAAATATTTTATTGTTTACATTTGTCAAATTACAAATGGCAAAATGACATGACATGATGATAAACTTGCTTCCTTGATGTTGGCAGCAACTTATGGTCTCTTTCCCACATTAGGGTTTTTATCCAAAATATTTACCCCTTAGTAGGTTACTCCTAGAAGGGGTATTTACCCCTAGTTTGTAGCGTGAAAATATCTAGCCTAAAGCGTAAGTGTAGGGCTTTTTATTAAAAGAAAAGTATTATTTTAAAAATATGCTGTAATTGCTGACATCTTAGGCAACAAAGAAGTGTGTGTTTACGATTTATTATAATAGTATAGATATAAATGTGAAGGTTAGAATCTGTTTGAACGAAGCGACTCGCTCCCATAGGTCAGATATTATTAATTACATGTTCCTTTACATTTTCAATGGGCATAATTATATCTATTTTTCTATACTAATATTATAAAGAGGATATATTTGTATTTTTGTATAGATAGGGATATCTCAAAAACTACTCGCACGATTTTAAAAATTCTTTCACCGTCAGAAAGGTATTTTATCTATGATTAACATAGGCTATATTCTATATCATTTTTTTAATTTCACGCAAGCGAAGTCGCAAGCAACAGCTAGTATTAAATATTTTCCTTATTTATGATAAGTCATTATTAGATTGTTAATATTTTTGCATAACTGACTTTAGAAGGAAAATGTAAATGTTAAAAGAGGTCAAATAAAAATATGGCGGATACATTAATTTTTATACCAGTTGACATTCTAGTGTTAGTATTTTATTTTTTAACAATATTTATTGCGAATTCGCTTCATTAGAATTTAGGTTCATCAGAATCTAAATTGAATCCTAAATGTGGTATTATAAATTCAAGTTTTATTAAATTACTAGCTGTCGACCGCGACTTCTTTCGCGAGGAATTACAAAAAACAAAAGTGAATAGTCTATGTGTTCTTCCAGAATATCTACTACATCTATACAAAATTTCATCGAAATCCGTTCAGTCGTTTAAGCTACAAACTCTAACAAACATCCTTCCATACATCTAAACTTTCGCATTTATAATATTAGTATGATTTGTAACAAAACAGTATTTTTTTCAATACCTTGAGTTTTGTACGAAAGTAACATCATTTGGTGTAGGCGATTGAAGTCGTTTTGTGATATCAGGACAGGAGTAGAGCCCGACGCAGCTGCCGACTTGCCCATCGGGGGTGATACATCTATTGCCTTTTGGGGTTCCCGTAGGAGCTGGTGAGGGCGGAGCCTTAGGTGTGGTGGGCTGAGGAGTTGTCGGTGCCGGCGAGGTCACTTGACAACACACCTGTGAAACAACGATTATTATAAAACAGATAGATAAACATCTAAACAGTCTTAAATATATGACTCAACTTATGTCCGCGACTTCGTCCATGCAATATTAAGATAAAAAAAAGTAGCCTATAACATGCCCGTGTATGTCAGCTATCCTTCAGTGAAAGTTCGGTCAAAATCGACCCAGCCGTTTTGGAGATTACCCGGAACAAACACGGCTTGCGGACAGACAGACAGACAAATTTTTTTTAATGCGATTTTTCTTATCGGCAATGGAAATACATCATCTTCTCGAAATCTGGAATTTTTCTTTTGATATTACAAACAGACACTACAATTTTATTATATATGTATTATATAGATGGTGAATTTGAATACAAAATTAGAAACCTCTTCAGCTCTGTTACTTTTTTCTTATTCCACGCGGACGGAATCGCGGGCGAAAGCTAGTATGAAGTAATTGCAAGATTTAAAGCATATTTGTTGAATTGAATTGTTAAGTAGTAAGAAAATGTTTTTTACCAATGGAGTGCTGTCCTGGAATCCACAGTGAGCACTTCTCAGTATTTCATAGTCCTTTTGTGATCTGTTGGGCTTGTTCAATAACATCAAAAGTTGTGGACATTTGTAGATGTCGACACATTGCCCTGAGCCGCCGTACGGTGAGGTACAATCTGCCTCTGGAATTATATAGAAGAACATTAATGAACAAGCCATTCATTGGTGAATTGATGAGGGGGTTAGGCAGTGTAGAGGGGTTTAAGCCGCTTTTGAAATTAATAATTTTGAATGATTGCAATTTCTTATAGGAGTAACGATTGTAATTTAAATGTATACTTGTTGTAAATTTTATTTAATTTAAAGTGTTAGAACCTGCTCCACCACTGGCTGATACTCAGATAGCTTAAAAATGACGTCACTGTCAGATAAGGTAACAAAATTCGATATTTCCATCAAACATTTTACACGTTGCTATCAGACAATTTATAAATTGTTGGAACATGCCGTTGGTGTCTTTATTTCAAGTATCGATGAATAATAGTTGGTTGGCACATTACTTAGAATCTTACTCCAATATTTCCTCTTGCGAAATGAATACTGACCGATAATATAGTTAACTTTATCGTTTATATTTGTAATTTATTTGCATTAATTTCACACTAGAGTATTTTACATCCGATACTAAAAAAAACTAGTGTTCAATTTAATAAGACAAATTGATAAATTTATTTCTTTATTCTTGTTCCGTGTATAATCTTATTAATATTAAATGCGACAGTTTTTTTTCTTTCCCTTTCTTAAGAAAAGGGTGTAAAGGGACTAAAATGAGGCCTCCGGCCCCACACTCATCAGACGAAACGCGGAATAGTTTCCACTTCACGTCTGTTTTCTGTGTGGTCGTGGTACACCGGACGAGCCGGCCCATTCGTGCGAAGATGTTAAATCGGGCTCTACCACTGTAAATGCATGAATGGATTAATGCTTGTTAGAATTTGTAGGTTAAACTGTTTAACGGATAGCAACGAAAGTCATATAGATGTAGAACAGTCTGGAAAAACACATAGGCTACTTACTTTTTAATTCCACGGAAGTCGCGGCAACTGGTTTTGTATAATTTCTATTATCCAATATGAAGCTAGTAGAATAATCTAATAGAATACTAGTAAATTAACAAACATTCTATTTATATACTTTTGCCCGCGACTCCGTCAGCGTGGGATTAAAAGCCAAAATTAAGTCTATGTGTTTTTCCAGGCTATCCTCTAAATTTCATCCAGATCCAGAGCAGACATTTATAATATTATTATAATAGTCATGTTAAAAGGATAGTTTATTGTTTTTTGACTATATACCTAACAAGAAAACATTTGTAAGTTGGTATATAAACAATTATGTATTGATAACCTTTGTGATGGTTTATATAAATGTTTTATGTCATGTAATTATAGGGCAGCACTTACGATAAGCAAAATAATATTTACATGATACATGCTTTTGTTGTTAAAATATATATTAAGACGGCTTTTTTTTAATAATCTCTCAACCTGAATATGGACCCTGATGGGTCAGAACTTGATGACGTCACCGGACGATGACACGAAGTAAGCCGCTTTTTTTATGTGCCATTACTTTCACGATGCCTAGTAGGCAGAGACCATGGAGTTTTGTTTCAGCCGCATGAAATTATAAAAACTTTATTTCATTGAGAACTGTCAATTGCAAATGTCAAAATTACTGTTACGTTAATAACCTTGCTTCCGTAATGTTGGTAGCTTGTTGTTTATGGTCCCTTTTCCACGTGAAGGTATTTTTCTAATTTATTTACCCCTTTTAGCATGAAAATATATAGCCTAAAACATGTCGTAAGTGTAGGGATTTTACTAAAGAGAGAATTATTCAAAAGTAAGCTGTGATTGCTGACATCCTACGCGACAAAGTAGTGTGTGTTTACGATTTATTATATTAGTATGGAGTATAGATAACTGCACGAAATTTTGGGTTGTTATACCGACCTCCTTAAGTTTTTAACATATAAATCTTATTAAAAAATAGTGACTCGACTTGGTATTTCGTCGTGTGTAAAATATGTTTATCAAGAACAAAGATAAAATGGTAGTGTATTGTATATTTGGTTTTTAATATAAGACTAAATATTTGTATTTTTGTATATATTGAAATAATTCAAAACTACTGGGCTTAAAAATACTTTCACCGTTAGAAAGGTAATTTATCTATGAGTAACAAAGTCGCGAACGAATATTATACGTATATATAGCGTCATCGTAATATTTTACACATTGCATATTAAGCGTCGATGGCTGGTCCTGGGTTCGAATCCCGCCGTGTACCAGGTTGACTATGGCCTTTTTGGCTTGGCCTTAAACTTAGGATAGGTTCCAAGTTACTCTGTGGCAGATGGATGTTAAAACATTTATGTTCTTAATTAGCACTATATACAAGAGCTGTAGTCTGTAATTGTTACGCTATGTTGGAGTCTAGAAATACGATTAAGGAAAATTGAATGAGTACAAATAATTGAAGATGGATTAGCTAACGGGAAAATAAATGTACTTTATGACATATTATCAGAAATAAGTAATAGTTAACAGTTTCTGTTGACTGATTACTGTTATTTTAATTAATATTGTTCATTTATCTTTGACTAGCTGACGCTCGCGACTTCACCCGTGTAAGTTAAACATAATTAAAAATTGTAGCCTATGTTACTCACAGCTAAATTACATTTCTAACGGTGAAAGTAAAATCTGCCCTGTTTTAAAGTTATTTCAATACATACAAAAATACAAATCATCTCTCTTTTTATTAGTATATATAGATTACTTCAAATTTATTGGTTTTCTTAACTGTATGTATAAATTATTAGAATTGTTTTTTTAAGATTAAGACTATGAAATGTTTGCTCCTTTTCATATCTATACAAAATATGTTTTAATAGAAAATATAGTTTTATAACAAAATATAGTAGAAACATAACTAAAAACAAAAAAATATCCAGCAATTATCAATATGTTTTAAATGTTTAGCTAAGATAATCTGTGCCGGTTTTGCCAAGGCAACTTTAAGTTGATACTCTAACCGATTTTGTACAAATTGTTCAATGACCCAATCACTATTTTAATATACGACCTCTTGACCTTAATTAAAACGTAAAACTTCAATCTTTTATTTGTTCCTACATCCATGTTTTTTTAAACATCTTGCGATATCTTAAGAATGATAATCGAGTTTTATTAGCGATCTAAGAGTTCGGTAGCCTTAGCTCGGTAGTAACGGCCCGAGCCGAGGCTCCTGAGGGAGCCCTCGAGCTTAGTTACTCATAAAAGAGGATTAGGCTAAGCGCCATCTGCGCTCGGCCACCTCAAGCCCGGTGAATCTGTAAATACCTCTTCATGACAAACAGTCACAATTCAGTCACAAAAAAAAATCGAGTTTTATTATTTTTTTGTTTTATGATCACCAGCTCACTATACATCCCCACTGAGGAGCTTGAAGCCTACGCTAAGTTAGGGGTAACTTGATATTTGTATCATCATCATATCATCACCTGATCATTATGCGTCAGCACTGAGGGGCTCATAGCCTACCCTAAAGTAAGGGGTGACTAGGCATTTCGATATTCTGCCTCATCTCACATATTTTTATGCAACGACAATTTGAGCTTAAAGATTTAAAAAACCATAAAAAGGTCAGAGCCTCTTCAAGGCAATTGACCAATGTACATTTTTTGTATAAAACCTATACGCTTATTTGTTTTATAAAAATTGACTTATGAGAGCTTTAAAATACTTACGTGCATCAACATTATTAAAAATAACACTTAAACACACTATGTAGAATAAAAATTGTTTACAAACTGCCATTTTATCACAACACTTTGTAAACGACCACATCCGAACGCGGATGAAGCGCCACTGAGCTCTGAATACGACCGATTGACTTTGATTCTATTTATCTCCAGATTGGTTGCTATATAACGTTTTTTATATTTTATTTTCCTTATAAATTACAATAGAACATGTTTTGACGTTGTTGTTAGTTAATTTTATCTGTGGTCGCGAACTTTTTTATACCTTTGCCACCTTATGTTATAAAAAAAACCTAATTAATATATTACTTCTACTACAACTTCAGTTCTTCTGTTGATTCTAGAGGTCTCGTATACAGAGTGGTTAAAAGACTCGATACTAAGAGTCAACTCTGATAGGATGCCGGATGTTTTTGTCGTCAACTGCGTCAATGTGTTGGCGTCCCTTTTCTGTTTCTTCAGTAACTCCTTTACCTCTAAAGTTTTTCCAACAGCTTGTAAAGATGCATAAGTTATAACTGATTTAAAAAGTCGTGATACTACCTGCGTCGCCAATAGACTATATTTTCTAAAGTATTCGAAAAGGTCATGTATCGAACACTATATGGTATCTGAAATAGTTGATCTCTCCGGAATAACAGGATTTCTTTAAAGAGTGATCCACCACAACTAATCACACTTTATACTAATGTTATAAATGCGAAAGTTTAGATGTTTAAAACTGAGTTTGTACTGGGATTAATAATGATTACAATAAAAAAAATCGTAGATTTGAGTAAAAAAATCATTAGCCGCAGACTGTTTTTTGTTTTATAATATAAGGTAGCAAACGAGCATGCGGCCACCTGAATCCGCCAAAATGGCGAAGCGACCGCTGCCCATAGACATCCGCAATTGCAGATGCGTTGCCTACCCTTATCCGACGGTGGAGGAGACGCACATAAAGAGGATATTTCCCTTTCTTATGCATCTTCTCCATCGTCAAATCCACTTCCCCTTCCCATCCTCTCATAAGAAAAGGGTGGTCAAGAGAAAGGGACTTAAATTAGGCCTCCGGCACCACACTCATCAGACGAAACACGGAATTTCTTCCATTCTTCTTCCATTTCACGTCTGTCTTCTGTATGGTCGTGGTATTACACCGGGCGTGCCGGCCCATTCGTGCTAAGATGTTAAAGCGGGCACTGTTAAAATGTGCTTTTTTTGATTGTAAAATATTTGAATAAAATCCCTTTTACGTCCATTTTTTTATTTTTACTTTACGTATTCTTTTCAAAACCGGTTACTATAAACTAGTTATATTCATTGTAGTGTATAAAAACAAGAATCTTTTATTTTTGCATAAATCAAGCGATGAGCAATCTGGTTTTGATTTTATTTTTCTTGTATCCGCATAAGAATCAAACCGTAGGTCTTCACTGAAGCGACTACAAAAATGTATTGAAATGTTAACGGGATTTTAATGTTCTGTCCTTAATGTACTTAATAAATGATTTCTTTTTTTTCAGGTATGCTAAAACATGACGGTACCCACTAAAGTAAGAATTTTTTATGGTGAGAGGGAAATAAAATTAATTTATTATTATAATTATTTATTTCCTACTAATAGTTCACACATTTGTTACTTTGTTTTTTGTAATTATTGCAATGTTATCAAATAATTTTTAACCAAGGGTTACCTGCCAAGCACCGGTTCAAAAACTACTACGTACAAAAATGTAAAACACTATCTATAGACGAAAATATACAAAACACCAAATTTACAAAATATACTAATGAAATAAAAAACAATCGGTTCTTGGCCAAAAGGAGAAGGATCAGCTGAGGCGGCCTTAAGCTTGTCACTGAAAGTCGCGCTGGTTTTCTTAATGAACTTCTGATATTAAATGTTTCGATAGTAAAAACTGACGATCATAATTAAATTTTTAGACTTTCAAGAATTATTTATATGTTGCCATATCCATGGTAGATACTGGTAGACATTAATGTACACGCTAGGTATTGATTGTCCGCAAATTAACGGTCCGAAGCTAACCACACCTGTTACTTCATACAAATCCCCTTTTAGGTACATCAAAGGTCCGCCAGAGTCACCCTTGCACGAGTCTTTCCCAGGCTCCCCACCAGCACATAGTTGTTGCTTCGTTAACATTATGTTGTTATAACTATAAAATTTATAACATTCCTGAAAAATATTTTAGAATTGTTGATTCTTGACGAAATACTGCGGAGGCTGATTGAATCTGCACAGAGAACGGTCCTTGTTCTCTTGTAATGGCCTTGTTTTCATGTAATGCATAATCATGCCTCATACTACTATTATAAATGCGAAAGTTTGGATAGATGGATGTTTGTTAGAGTTTGTAGCCTAAACGGCTGAACGGATTTCAATGAAATTTGGCATAGACTTAGAGGATAGTTTGGAAGAACACATAGGCTACTCAGTTTTGTTTTTTAATTCCACGCGGACTAAATCGCGGGCGAAAGTTAGTTACCATATATTCGTAAATATGGCATATAATTCAGCCACAAAAGAGATAATTATCGATAACGTCGAGTTCGACTTTCTACAAATCTATGAATTGAAAAGCAATAAACGCCACTAACTTCAAAGCTCATGTAAGGTAGTTCCACTCCACGTTTGACAGGGCTCATAGACTCCAGAGTTTCTGTCAATCCCCATCCCGAAGCAAATAGTCTTTTTTTGTTTGTCGTGTCTTCTGAAAATTCTGAAGTGGGCAGGCAAATTGGACGAATGAATTCTGAAAGTCCAAAATAAAAAATACGAAGTTTTACAAACCGCACTTGATATCAAACCTTAGGCAGTGTTTTAAGTAAATTAACAGAGTAAAGACTATAAGAAAAACATTCGAACACAAATAGTGGTAGAGTAGGGCCGGGTCACTTGGTGTTAAGTGGGAGCAATTCCACGATTCCTCTGATCAGTGGGCGTGCCGGAGGCCTAACTTAAGTCCCTTATAAGAAAAGGGTAGGAAAGGAAACTGAATTTGACAGTGGAAGAGATGCATACGAATAGGAAATATCCTCTTTGTGTGCTTCTCTTCCTCCGTCGATTAAGAGTAGGCAACGCATTTGCAATTGCTGATGACTAAGGGCAGCGGTCACTGCGCATTTTCGGCAAATTCAGATGGGTGCTCGCTTTTTTGTTACCTTATCATTTATAAAAATTAATATATCGAAAACAGAGGACATTCATCAAATTCATTACCTTAGTTTACGCAGTCGTACTGGTTTCTGAGAGGAACTTTTTAAATTTCAGTGATACAAGTGAAATATAAAAGATCTTACCAGTGTAGGGCGCCATCGTCATGAGTCTAATCAGTGCGATATCGTTGTGTCCTTGAATATCATTCTCATTGTATTCTTCGTGTATAAAGGTTTGCTCTATTGGTATAACAACAGGATTTTCTGTACAGTCTATACCACCACCAGGAGCTTTCACACAATCAGGACCGATATTCGAAATATTGTACTCCCCAAGTCGAACGTTGACACTGAAATTAAAAATGTTTGAACTTGATTAAGAACAGTGTCCTAGACTAGATCAGTGTATTTGTTATTCCTTATATCTAGTAGTAATGAAGATACGAAATAAGTATATTAGAGGAAGTATGAGAGTAGCCCCAGTGGTATAGAAGGAATAAAAGTTTAGCATGGTACGGGCAAGTCATGAGAAGGGATGTATCGCATGTTACAAGGAGAACGTTAGTTGTGTTTAAGGTAACACAGGTAAAGGTAGATCTAGAATGAGATAGATGTATTGAGTAAAAGGTGACATGATCAAAAAGGGAGTAATGACTGAGATGACGTATGACAGAGTTATGTGGAGGACAAAAACCTGTTGCGTCGACTTACGAGAGTAGGATAAGGAGGAAGATGATTATGATGTCTATAAGAAATTATATGGAAAACAACGAGATTATTTCGACTTGTAACTTACGGAATATGCGCAGCAATGGTTTGTCCTCTCAAACAGTGTGCCGCCGTCAGGACATACTTCCCACTTATCAGGGACCCTGCGCACCCTACTTCAATTTCACTTGTCGCTTTTCTCACATACTCTATTAGTACAAGCCATGGGTATTCATCTATATTGGTTTCAGTTCCTCCTGTGAAAAAATCCTTAGTTTGGTATCTTCATTTCATATCCTCAACAACACCACAAATTAAATGACGAGCAATGAACGTGTGGCGTTGTCCGCTTGTAATTGTAAATTTTTTTATTTATTATTTACATTTGACAAATTATCAATTGGAAATGACGAAATTCAAATCCACAAATTACAATGAAGGCCTTTGACATTGGATAATAATTACCATTTCCATGGCAATCTTGCTTCCTCGGTGTTGTCAGTTTATAGTTAATGGCCCCTTTCGCACTTGAGGATTTTTTCGATTTTTTTATCCCCTGACTTTATAAGCGTGAAAATATATAGCCTAAAGCATGTCCTAATGGTAGGGCTTTTTATTAATGAAAGAGTAATTCAAAAATATTCTGTAATTGCTGACATCCTACGCCACGAAGTTGCGTTTGTTTACGCTGTATTAATATAGATAAAGAGAAAGTATTGGTAGAAGACCTGTATAGCGTTATGTTGTTTTGTTGTTAGTTTCAACTTACCAATAATTCTGTCACTATTGGTAGCTTCCTTTCCGCAGCAGTTGCTTTGCGGTTCAGGTGGGGTACTAGATAAAGTACAGGTGCTAGACGGTGCGAAATTGTTCTCATAGGAGTTGTTTTCTAAAGGATAAGCATTGGAATGATATTCGCAACACACGCTGTGTCTTTCTAGATTTCCGCACCTTGAAGCAAAGAACGTAGGTAAGGTTTCGTTTAGGATTAAAATTAACAAATTTACAATGATTTAGTGGTATTTTTTATTTTTGCGATATCGACGAAGAAATTCAAAGTTATGTGTGAGTCAACCCCAAGTGGGCCAGCGTGTTTTTTTTT